GCCCAACACGTCTCCAGAGAAACCTAATCCTGTTTGTCCTGGTGGTTTAACTTCAAAATTAAAAGACCAAATAGTATCACACGGCTGGGGATGACCGCGTTTCAGCCTGGCTAATTTGGACTAGGACTTGGCCCAAATTGAATTAAAACACTGAAGTATTCTGAGAGCGATATAAACGCCTAGCTAAGGTACAAGCCATATTGTGACCTTCTTCTTCACGTTATTCTTAAAAAAATGTAAAATTCAGTAAATATGAAAATATGCAAGTGGTGGAAATCAGGATCCACGCTGAAGAACTTGCAAGGGACGACAAACTGGAATTCTGAGTGGCTTTCTCAATCAGCCACGGCAATATATGTATGCTGAGCTATTAATAGCAACATATACAAGAGAAGCAAAGCCTTTTAAAATTAGCATTTCTAATTCTAATTGGGAAGGGACAATAAAATTAAGAGGTTTCGGGGATTTAGTGGAATGCTAAAATATGAAAATATCTTAAAACATACCTATTAGCACATCTACAAATGCAAAATATTTCAACTTTGCTGCCGCATGAATAGCATCCACAGAATTTGATAAATGCTTCTGCACTGCTAAATATGCTCAAACCCTTTGATGAGCAGTGACAAGGGTGACTAAAAAGCATCTTTATATTATGGAAAATATTTTAGGGTGGGTGGGGTTTTTTTAGAATTATATCTGAAGAATGTTTAATTCGTTTTTGGGCACTTTTTAGACAATCATTTGGCACTTCAAGATTTAGGTTCTTAGGCACAATGCGACAAGGTGAGTTTGGCCAGTCCTTCACCGTGCATCCTGTAGAGCAGCTGGAACTCTGCAGGCAGCTGGTGGGACTCCTGCCACTTGGTCGTGAACTTTGTTCCCTTCTTATCATAGTAGTGGTACGGGAGGTCCTCCCTCGTGTTGGGGTCGAACCCGAAGGGCCAGAATCCGTACAAGTGGATCTCTTCACATATGGCAGAAGCAAGGGTATACATGAGAATACCTGTGCTCAGCCGCTTGGGAGACAAGTGTTTGTTCTTCCAGTATCTGTGGAAAGAATGAAGGCATGTTAGTTTGGGGTGCAAGTAATGCCACGGGTCTGCTGTAAGGAAAAAATAATGTTACTGCTTGGAGACGATCAGTGCCGAGGGCCGATAGCCTGGACAAGGCAAGGGTTGCTGTTCAGGTCAGCCTGTAACGACGAGAGTGCAAAACAACCTTAGCAGCACTGACCGACGGTCTCTCGTGGTCCCCTTCTGAATGTTTTTGGTTTTTAACCAGGAGGGGTAGTGCCCTAGCCAGAAAAGTACGATTCACTGGCTCCTGCTCACACGTGCATTTGCTAAAGAGGTGGTAACGTTATCCTCCTTTGATCTATTACAGTTTTCCTCGGACCACCCTGCAGCTGTCTGTCAGCATCCCTGTTTGCTAGCCGAGAAGAGCAAGCTCTTCCATAAGCGGTGCTTTGCTTATACAGCATCCCACGCAGCTCCCCCGCGCTCCTCCCGGCTGCGGAAGCAGCGGCGGGAGCGGAGCCCAGCGACGGACCGTGCCCCGGTGCGACCGACCACCCCACCTCTGCTGTGCCGGGTACACATCTGTAAGGCAATAACTGAAGTACTGAAGCCACAACAAACCTGCCTTTGCTCGAAAAGCAAGCAGTAGCGGGTCCTGACTTGCTAGACAGAGCCTACCAGATCAGGCATGAATAGAAAAATACATACAGTTGTGTTTGTACAGAGAGAGAGGTATTTTGACAAGTTAAAAGCAAGGCAAAAATACACACCTGTTAACATGCTGCATTATGTTTCCTGGCCAAGCCAACTGGACCTTCAGTTGCCCTCTGTGCTCAACAAAGAAGTCAACCAGGGTTCTCGTGACTGTTGCTGACGTGTGGAAGAAAAAAGCGGGGATCCAAAGAATGGCCCCATCAAGCTTTTTCAAACTTAAAAAGAAGTTGTTGCGATCCTGAATGGTCAAAAGATTGTTGTAATACTTCTCCAGGATGCTGGGGTTGAAGGTTGTAAGGTTGGTTTTCCTTCCAACATCTTTTTGGAAAGCCTCGGTTGGAGCAAAATTGCAACGAAAAACAAAATCAGATTTATCTATTTCTTGCCCGCACTGACTCCCGGTCAGGATCCCACTATTTCCAACCACGGCACAAATGTTGTAATGCTTGTTCAGGATCGGCGACACGTCAGGAAGCAGCGATCTGAAGTTATTGCTAATAGAGAAAACGTACTTATGGCTGGAATAATCGTAATGCATCAGCTGTCCAATCCGAACACTATTCTTGGTCAAAGAAAAATTTTTTATTACATCGACGTGCTGAAGGATTTCTTGCCTAAAATAAAACAGGAAAAGAAAAGAAAATATGGAGTTATACTTCCCCTCTTTCTGTGGTGGAGAGATTTTCTTTCCGGCTAGACTTACATTTTTCTTTTTTTTTTAAATGTAGTAAAGTGGTTTCCTGAGCAATGTGGTGCAATGGCTTTTAAATTAATACAAATAGATAGGAATTACGGAGCTGGCTCCTTACCTAGTGCTCCGCTTGGCTTTACTGGGCGGTCCTGACTGACGCCAGCCACGGATGTGTCCGTGTCTCTTGGAACAGTGTCAGGATTAAAATATCGGATTCGCTGTGTAAGTCCGAGGCGTGCAGCTAACAGTACAGCCCTCCCACAGCCACCTTGCCGCGGGCGGTGCACAACACACTGCTGCCTGGGCTGTGACACGGGCCGGGGGGTAAGCCTGCGCTGGGGCTCTCTGCCTGCACGTCACTCTTGGTCCTGGGCCGCGGATCTTTGGCAATGACGGGTTCCATTTTGCCATGAGGTATGCGAAGCAAAACCAAGCAGTCCAGGATATTCAGCTGAACTAACAGTAGCTGATTTTTAAATATATGTATTTTCTGTGTTCTCATTAAGAAGCTTTGAATCACAAAAACAAGTGACTGTTGCTGTCTCCATTTATGTAAACATAATTCCTTAATGTCTTACTTGGGCAAGCACGCCAGCATTTTTACAAGGGTTATTAGAGATACTTAAAAACCAAACAAAACCAACCCTGCTCAGGAATTTCCCTTGCAGGGCATAAAATTAGAAAACCAATACCACTTTATTTGCTCATGTTTATGAAAAACAAACAACCTTTCTTCCAGCTCGCATCCTCCAATGTCTAAGCATTAATGGAGTCCCACTGGGTGCCCTAATTATGGGTTATGGCTAACGGACAAGTGCAAAGGCAGACCCTGCGGCACTAGCTAAAATCACCAGAGGGGTGGCACAGAGGCAGGCTTATGAAGGATGAGCTGGTGGTGCCAGGAATGAAGCAATACTGAGGGGTGGCCGCTGTCACACCAGCCTGGGAGGTCCCCGGACAGGATGGGGTAGGCGAAGTGCCACCTTCTCCCTGTGGCCCACAGCTCCTTCGGGGCAGCGGGCAGCACTTGTCGGCACTAGAAGGCCATTACTCGCCCCGCTGTGCCGGCAGCAGCGCTGACCTGTGACCAGAGAGTGACCAGCAGGGAGGAGAGAAGCCCAAGCCCTGCCCGCCAGCACCAAGGGGTGCAGCAGCCCCATCCTGACCCTGCCAGCTGCCTGGCCGCAGAGCCGAGGGGCCTGGGTTCCTGCTTCTCAGGTGGGATATGTGAGCGGAGTCTCTGAAACAGCAGGCGTTTGTCAGGACAAAATTACAATCCAAGATGGTAACAGCTATCTTAAATGGCTAAATGTTTTTCTTTCCTTTTATAGAATTTTAAAAAATATATATGTCAGTAAATATAAATTGTATAAAGTATGTATTTATTGGTATCTCTCTCTCTCTCAATAAAGCCAATAAATAAAAGAGGCTGGCCAGACACCACCAAGTTCACATCAGAGTGAGAAAATTGAAAGCACATTTTACTTCCTGTAAGTACGGAGCAGCTTTGAGGGAGCTGAGGGAACCGAGAAACCCTTTCAAGGAAGGGAAAGGTGCAACCTGTGAGCAGCAGGCAGAAGGCAATGCACAAAGAGGGTGTCTCCGGTGGGTCCGGGCTCGACGGCCCCCATCCGAACCCCTCGCTCTGCCCGCCCCCCAGCTGGAGCCGTGCTGGAAGGCAGAGCAGCGCTGCACTTGCTCGGAACTGCCGTTAGCTGGGAAGTTTAGCTGGGCGTGTGTTGGTCTCCATGAATGCGGCATTTCATGGCTGTTACAGGCCGATTTGTTTCAAGTTTTAAAACCCCAGCCATTTACCTTGAAGTAATGACAATTTCGCTTGCACACCGGGAAACTGGGTCACGTTCTGTTTGGTACAATAATGTGTGTTGCAGCCTGCTGTTCTGCTCTGAATTATCAATTCTTCCAAGATAGCTGTAATCGTCTGGGGAAATGCTCTGATTCAGCCTTTGTCTCTCACCGCTGGCAAATTACTCAGAGCTCAGAGTATTTAGCAGTCCCTGATTGTATTTTCTTAAACCCTGGGGGAAGGGGACAGCCTCCGGGGGGCGAGAAGGGGAGGCGCGGCGCAGCCCGCACGCTCACCTCTGATGTGCGAAGGCGGTCCGGTTGAAGGCCCACTTGGAGGGCTTCTCCTGCAGCTCGTGGGTCAGGGAGTTCGTGATGG